AGCTTATGAAATGATAGATGTGCATATTAAAATCTCAAATAAATGATTTCACATCTATTGCAATTTTTTTGCTGAGAACTTGGGAACTGGATCTGTTAAATTATGCCGTTGTGACGTGATGTTTCATCTAACGCTAAAACTACGTTCAGATAGATTATGTGGTAGCACACTGGAACTCAGAATGATTCCTGCCTATTGGCTATTGTTGGACTAATTACTCATTAATTAATGATACTATTTTTCATGCTTTTTATATGAAAGATTGTGCTTTATTTTCTTCCAGATCAAGCTTAAGAACATGCTGTACCATACTGCTCGAATAAACTGCCTTGCTTGGTCTCCTGATAGCACACTGGTTGCAACTGGATCTCTTGACACATGTGTTATCATATATGAAGTCGACAAGCCTCCAGCAAGCCGTGTAACCATTAAGGGTGCACACTTGGGTGGCGTCTACGGCATAACTTTCACTGATGAGGACACTGTGGTAAGCTCTGGCGAGGATGCATTTGTTCGTGTCTGGAGGTTGACTCCGCAATGAAGAAACACCGAGGGCTTCTTAGGGTCAAGGAAAGAATTAGAAAGATGGGAGGTTTTGCCGGATTTCATGGGTTTGCGAGTTTCCGAATGATGGAAGCATGAGAAAGGATATTTCCATGAATTGTAAAGTATCGAGACATAGTTTCTGTTGTCTGGTGTGTCACGAACGGCGTTTTTCATAGACAGATTGGCTGTCTTTTAACAGGGATTATGACCTTGCAGCTTGGAGTAGGTGGGTTTTAGTGAATCCGTTCTTTCTGGTTTTTGCGAGGAAAGTTTAAAGTGCTTAACTTTATGATGTAATATTTTTTTTATTTATGGAATTATATTTGTCATCAACTGTGTTCCGCAATGTGTTCTTTATTTTTTTAGAGGGATTGGATGGTGGCGAGTCTACCTTTGGGGGTCCCGAAGACTCATAGGCATTTCAGTCTCCCTCCTAGCCACTACCATGTATTCATCAAAGTTAAAAATTGAATTCGTGATGTGCCGTATAAAATACGAGCTTATAATTCGTCCCCAACAACTGGGTTACACCGTCGTGGTTGTTTGGCATTGTGTCCAAAATTGGGGAAATTCGCAACAATGGGGATTCAACAAATATTGACCTGAGATCTCCTTTCCGTTGGTCGATATAGGATGTTACATTTGAGGTGCCTAAGCAAATATAGGAAGCAACTCCTCCATTGTCGAAGAGAAGTGAGCAGAGGGACAAGGAAGGGCGGCCACCCCTTTTCTCGTCAGAAATTGCCACTGAGTGAGAATTCCGCCCCTTTAATCTTTTGACCCTGTTGGAATCTGGGTTTGCTTTTGGTTTGTAGAGGTGCACTGATGCTGTTGCGTTTAATTTTATTTATTTATTATTTTTTTTTTTTAAATACCCAAGCCGCTATGATCATTCTAGCAAGAATTGTGGTCATCTATAGAAGGTTTGCTACTGTGCGTCAGCAATATGCCGCCCATCAGCTGTAGAAAGTTGAAACTTAGATGGAGAAAACGAGAGAGAGAGCAATAGAGAAAGAAAATGACCAAGATAGAAAAGGATGATGGTTGTAGAGAACACATCAGTTGTAGAGAGTGGTTTTATTATTTTAAAGATGTAGATTCAATAAAATATTATAGTCTAATAAAGTGATTGATTTGATTTACATTAAAAAAATAATAATTTTAGAAGGAAAAAAACCTTCTTTTTTTTTATGTCAAATATATGTTGGGCCACATATTTTTTTTTACCAAAAAAAATAGTGTAAAAATGTAATGGGTTCCACCGGTGCCAACCTTATTCAAATATGCAAGGTCGGAAGATGTGAAAGCTATAAGATAGTGTATACACTTTTTATATTGGTTTTAGTATTATTAATTGTAACTTCTTTTGAAAATTAAACTAAAATAACATACACTATTTCTCTAATAGAACAAAATAAACACTATTTTTAGAATTATAGCAAAATAACCATAATATTTTTAAAACTGAACCAATATAACCCATACTATTTCTGAAACTATAGCAAAACAATTATACTATTTCTGAAATTGAACCAAAATAAGCACACTATTTCTTAAACTGAACCAAAATAATCACACTATTTTTGGAACTACTACAAAATAACCTACATTATTTTTGAAACTAAACCCAAATAGCCCACATTATTTTTGAAAATTAGGCCAGCATAATCTTCAGTATTTCTGGAAGAAAACAAAATAACCCATATTATTTTGAAATTAAACCAAAATAATCAACATTATTTCTATAATTGAACCAAAATAACCCATACTATTTTTGAAACTGCAACAAAATTACACCTATTTTGAAACTGAACCAAAATAATGAGTTTTAAAACTCGGAGATTTTCAGTCTTATGAGCCAAGATTTTCACTACGTTGTGTTTGGATAAGGATTTTGAAGAGCACTAACGAGTTTTAAATTATTTCTTTACTCTTCACAACAACTTAAACTTATTTCCCTGATAATATCATCTTGTTGGTAGATAATTAGCATTCTTGGGGTAGGTTGAGCATGCCTCGACTTCACAAGTCAGGTCATACGTCTCGTCGACATGTCCCTTTTGAATAATATATTCTAGTTTCAATATTGTTCCCTAGATATTGTTTTTTTTTTTTTTGTCAGGAATTACAATTGATTTGATACGGGAAATACAAAAGGAGACAAAAGGATGAGGCCACATGGAGAAAGATTGTTTGTCCTCTTATTTTTAATATTTTTTCGTGTCTTTTTGTTTTGTATGATCATGATTAAGTTACGTTAATATTTTATATATTTTTTTATAAAAATAATAAAATAAAATAAATAATAATATAAAATATTAACATATATAAGAACACATAAAGATACCAAAAGTGGAAGGTAGACCATCTTTGTCAGGACACAGACGGCCAAACCCAGACAAAAGATAGAAAATAAAGGCGATTTGACCCAAAAAAAAAGAAGATAAAAAAACAAAAGATGAGTAAACCCACGTGAAAAAGAAAACAAATGTACAAACTGCAAACAGATACATGGACACAACCAAACAAATATTTAATGGGAGTGTGACCCCGATAAACGTCACGCAGTTCAAAGCCTAATGGAAAAGTTCAACTTTTTGATGTAATAGACTGACTGAATGAGACTTCCGTCAGCGGCATTGGCTGGAAAAAAGAAAAATTAGTGTTGAAATGTGGGCTTCTTTATTATTGATGAAACTTTAGCTTTTATTCTTATTATATTGTATTTTGTTCTTTTTATTAAATTTCAGGCTTTTTAAATTAAATAAAGTTAGATTTTTTAATCAAAATGGTCATTGAGATTTGCATAATACATTACTTTAGTCATTGAGATTGAAAATCAATAGAAATGATTCCTGAGATCATCCACCATACTTCTAGACGAGACAAGGAGAATAGTAACTTTTAGACGGCTAGCTCGCTGTTGTTTGGCCGAAAAATGGCTCGAAAGTAACTGCCTTGGTCTCGAGTTAGCTACTTTCAAGACATTTTTCAACCAAACCACAACGAGTTAGCCATCAAGAAAGGTATCATTATCTTTGTCTCTTCAAGAAGTATGATTTTCGTTTTTGAATCACTCGATTTCGTTGAGTATTGAAGAAGTTATGAATGTTTAAATTTTATCCAGTTTATGGCGAGTTTTCCAGTTTTCCTACGGACTAGTCACCTTTCAAGCTATTTTCTGGCCATCTCCGGCGACCATTGGGCTTCCAGATGGGTATAATCTTGTTCTACACTTTCCTATCTTCATTTTGATATATTATAGGTCGAATTTGGTTAAGAAACGATTGAGTTACGAAGCTTTGAAAATTGCCCAAATTTTCAACCAAGAGCTACGGGACACTTAACGGAGTTTTTAAAGGAATGACCAAAATAATGGATAGTGGACAATCCATTTCTATTGATTTAATCTCAGAAACCAAAGTGATGTATTATGCGACTATTTTACCTAAAAAGCCATAAAGTTGTAAGATGACTTTGTGTCAAAATAAACTCATCTCAAGCCATTTTCATTAAAACTCCCCTCTATCAATTAGGATTTGTATTTTCATCGTTTCGGTCATTTAAAGATTCTCGTTTTCAAATATGATAGGAGATAAAAATATACGTTGCAAGTATTTAAACAATGCTGGCTTCTAGAAACCAACATGAAAATAAGAGTGCGGGTACAAAATAACACTATTAACGGTACTGTGAAGCACAACCATGGAAAAAGCAAGGATATAAAAAATTACGCCATGGAGCCGTCGTTAACGGCAATATGTGATATAAAAAAGTTACAGTCTATAATTCATCGTAGTTCATCGTGCATCAATCTCTTTACAGGTTCCTCGGCCTTGTGAGCAGCGTTGTCGTAGACCTGGGCATGATTTGCGACATCTTCAACAGCTCCAGGTCTAAGTTTTGCTCGCCCAACCATACCGGCCTTAATGGCAGATGTGACCTGCCTCAGCAATGTCAATAGACCAATACACTTTGAAACGACATAAAGAACAGCTAAAGAAAACAAGAAGAATCCTAGCACGAGTATCACCCTGTCCAGATAAAATTCGATGTTAGAATCTGCAGATGTTACATGATAGTTCTACAACGTCTATTTTTAACTTCTCGCACAGGGTATTTTGTGTTTAAAAACAAAAGTCTCGCACCGAGTATTTTGTTAGACCATGATTGGGAATTGTATTTTGTTAGACCATGATTGGGAATTGTTTGATCGTCCTTCTCCGAAGAAGAGGCGAAACATAATCTGAACCTAGAAAAGAGAGTTGAGGTTGGAACGAGTGTATAACGTCCCCTTTTATTTCTCACACCGATTATTTCGTTAGATCTACGTACATGTTTTTAAACATAAAAACATAATAAATGTGAAATCCACATGTCATTCTTTACTTCTTACACATTTATATAAAAAAATATATATAAATGCAAACCTAAAAAATATTGGACTAGAATTGATAGGGGCCGCGCGAACGCAGGCCCCCACTAACACAAATTATGACGCTGGCTCTCCCGCTTGGGGAGACCATACGAGAGCACCCCTCCTAAGTGCAATAGAGGTCACAAACCTATGACATGGGCCTTCTTGATCGCCCATTGACCCCGTCCAGGTAAGTGCTTTCCATTTTACCTTTCCTTCCATTTTATATCCTCTACCCGCCGCATCCCCCGGCGCTGCGTCGATGTGGGAAAAGAGGGCATCCCTTGATTATAACTTTCAAGTTTCAATGCTACCAATGACATGGCACAATTTTTTTTTCATTTTTTATAGTTTTTAATCTAAACTTTTACTAAGGAAAAATATGACAAAAGTGGTTTTTAATTCAAAACCTCAAGCAAATATTCAAGTTGTAAATGATGATTTGATTTCTTGAGAGTTAGTCATTTATTTTGCAAGAGGATGTCTTGAGTTCAAACTTAACAGACAAAGTTACGTTGAACCACATAAATCTAAGAACATAGTTTGTTCTCAAAAGCTAGTGATGTTGAGAATGGATGAATATTCAAACTTAGAAATTCTCCGAACATTAAAAGAGAAATGCCACTAAACAAGATAATGATGTTTATGTTGCAGCCAATTCGTATAAAGAAAGACTTTTCCATCTCAAAAATTAGTATGTGAAGTTTGTGTTAAAATTTCCAAATTTTATCCTCCAATCATGATTTACTAATAGATTTGCCTTTTTTCAATAACATGGAAGAAAAAGAGAAAAAAAACACTAAAGAACTAGTCTAACTCTAGCAGGTTCAAAACATTCATCGAAAAAAGTTTGAACTAAACACGAAAGAGGTTCCACAAGCTCTTGAAAATCTACCTCGCTACTTAAACCCAACAATAGCTCTAGAAAACTAGCAAAAAAATGTCAAAATTTGAGAATTAAAATAATTTATAGAGAAATAAATCATATACGGGAAAAGAAATTCAAGATGCTGCCATTTTTACTCCCAGAACTCTTGCAGCTGCTTCTCTTCACCTTCTCATTTTTTACCACCCTTCTTCCCTTGGGAAGCTTAGAATTTACACTTTCCTGAGATTCTGGAGTTATACACACAATGTCCGAAGACTCCATCTCCGTCACGCCCGAAACCCGTTCACTAACGCTCACTATATGATCTAAGTGAACAACATCAACTTTCCTTTTTCTGGAGGGGCCATTGTCGAGAACTTTTACCTTCATGCCCAAAGCTTCCACCTCAGGAGCTGCATTCGAAGTTTGTTTAGTGTTTTCGCTACCTGTTTGATCCGAGCGAATCTCATTTTTCCGCTTCTTGAAAGGATTGCTGAGAGGAACCTTCAATGGGATGGTCTTGGGTGCCATTGCCCCTTCCATTGTTCCATTATTTTTCGACTGCACAATCAGCTTTGCTAGTGCTGCAACTTCATCCAAACACGCGTTTTCATCTAAAACTGGATTCCGCATTTCTGTAGAACAAAATTGTAGCACCGCAAAACATAGGCGTTATGCACTAAAATTTCCACAAGCAGATATAAGATGCATGTAGGCGCATTGAATGCGGAGAAACTTCAGCAAAACTTGCCTGTTTGCCTTGTACTATCTTTCTGACTTTTAAGGGAGGGAAAGGACACAAAACAGCTAACTTCTGCAGATACAACCGCAGTCGCAGTTCTCTGGGTTTGATCAAAATTTCTATTTTTGATAGGATCTGGATGATGTATCCAAGCGGGGAAGTGATCAAAGGCCTCCATATTTATGGGGTCCAACTTTCCTTCAGCAATTGCAGTAGCTACTGATGAAGGCATTTCTCTAGTTCAATTTGTAATTGGTCAAGGAAAAGAAATGTAGATATTGTAAGAAATGTTAAAACCCAAAAATGAAAAGAGAAAATAACACAAGGATACGGTCCAAGGAAATCGAGTTCTCCACCTAGAGACTGCACAAGCCTTTGTGGAATTGGTTTCATATGTTTGACCTTTTTCTTGTCAGCGTCGTATCTACATCAAAGTATAGAAAGCCAGCGGGAGTCACTAATTGAACCAAATAGAAAAGGTCGGAATATTTATTACTTAGTATGCAAGTCTCAGATTGGTCACATTTGAGCATGCTGAAAAACTGCAACAGCTTCTCTGAAACATTTGGGGTAATCTTCAGCCATTTGACTGCCCTTCTGCGATTTAAGAGCCGATAAAGCCTGCAAGAATGCCACCATGAAATGAAGCATAAGGCATCATGGAAAGCTCTAACAGAGTAGAAAAATCAATTATAAGCGTAGGATTGTCGAAGATGTGTACACCATACTTACACGATCTAAGTTGCGATACTTAGCAACCAAGGCATAAGCTTTTGCAATCCCAATTCCATGAACAGACGGAAGGAAATCACAGCCAGCCAAAACACACATGCCTGCAAAAAATGCCAGATCAAAAACTAGTCCACTTCATACTTTCAAAGTACTTTTTACAGCCAAGACACACATTTTGTTACTGTTTCAGATTATAGCTTAGGGATGAGGTAGCTCCAAAGATATTTTCGTTAAAACGTATGCAGATAGAAAAAAAATAATACTTCATTGTCAACTTGTACTAACCTGTGAACAATTCCTGATCAAAATTTTGGAACGAAGGTGTACAACTCCCTGGATTAAAAACATTCTCCAGCACTATCTCTTCGCCATTACCATAGTGGTCCATCTTGCAGACAATCTGTTTGCAACCAGTGCAAATCAAAACAAACAAAACGCCAGCTAGTTCAATAACATGCGATTGAAAAGAAGTCAGTCGGAGAGTCAACCTCCATCTGCACCATATCAAAGGTTTATGGAAGGTCTTACAGCTTGGCAACCATATGCCACAAGATCACTGTCCTCTGTAATCACGGCAGCAATTCCACCCTTTTCTGCTTCGAGACTGCACAGGTATGCTAGCTGTGCATCAGCCTCATATGGAGCTACTACAAATTCAACTTTCTCTGATCTCAGAACCTGAAAGGCCAATAGTGTACAATAGTATTCAGGAACTCGGGGTTAGGTTTGAATCCAATAACAAAAGGTAAAGGCAAAGGAGCTGGTATGCCGATTTAACTAGAACTTTATAGAAAGTAAGATGCAATGATAATATGAACAGAATGGCCTGAACATGAACATGCATCAAGTAAATTACCTGTATCAGTTGATGTGCCATTGCTGGTGTTACACTCACTGCTCTCTACGAATGAAGAAACCAACGCAGTAGATAAATCAGATAGAAGATACGAATTTTAGAACTAGCAATACTGAATATTCACGATAAGTACTCAACGTAATGGGGAGAAACTAGATCTTTTAATAGAACCTGGGTCCGATTTTGAACAACATTCTATGCCTACCATGTTTCTCAACATCCTGTGAGAGTCATGAGTCGATAAACACAAACATTGTTTAAATCAAGTTGCATCCATTGTAAGGATGGAGATGCTTATAAATAAGGAGAGCACAACATAATTGTAATCTCCAAAACTAAGCAATGAGTACAGACATGGGTCAAAAAGTAATACATGAGTAATGTGTTCAGCTCAAAGTTTACGCATTTAATGATTTTTCGATGTAATGTGTAGATATGCAACACACTTCTTGAACAAACTTAAGTACCTGGAAGAGCTCAGTGGCAGCTCTAATATCCCCTTCTTTATATTTTGCCATTGCCAAATCACGATTAGTCTTCCGTCTCCTGAATCAGCAACAAGGTTGTGCATTAAGAACACAAACACAATGTCAACACAAAATTTATAAAAAGAGGGACTAAAAACAAAATGGCTAATGGCTATCTTCGAAATGAAGTAAACATGCCTGTGGCGCTCGTGCTCAGTGGTGGCCTTACAAGGTACATTGCCGCCATCAAAAACCACCACCGGGGTTATCTTGTGGTGGCGGAGCATATTTATCCGGTGCATAAAGTAGTCAATGTACTTCAGTTTCCTTTCGCTATTCGAATTCATACACAGCTCCAAACTACATGAATATGCTGCCCAACACAAAATCGAAACTTAAAAATCACAAATAGATTAAAAATAAAAATCCCATCTCCCAACTGACTCAAAAACCAAATAAAACCAGCAAAGAAAAGATTTTGACAGAATAAAAGGTGGCATTTTCTTTACCCCCTTTGTGAAGCCATGAATATGCATCAATACCCACCTGCAATCCCAAAGCACTCAAATTTAAGCTTGAAAAATCAAATGGAATAATTTTCAGAGAAATCCCAAATCAAAAATTTTGAAATTTAGCTGAGAATAATTATAGAAAAAGAAAAAGAAATGGGGATTGAAATTTACCCGCTTTCCGGCATACTTTTTTATATGAATGGGCGCAATGAAAGGCTTCAAGAATCTGAGAAGATCTTTGATGCCCATCTGCTTGCTCCTCCTTCCTCCGCCGCTGCCGTCGCTTCTGGGTTTTGGGTTTTTCTTTTTTCCAATTTAGTTGTTTTTTATTTATGAAAAATGAAAAAAAACGAAGAGCTTGATGTTGGAGAAAACGGCGGGAAGAGGAGCAAATGTCAAAGTAAGGAGGCAGCGATACAAAATTGCAGATGACAGCTCCACCAACAGGTGTGTTAATAGGGGATTATTACAGACCAATGAGAGAGGGCCACGTTGCCCTGTTGATGGAGGGAAAGTTGTGGATGCTGATGTGGCGGAATAGGATTGGCTGATTGATTTTGGTTGTCTAAACGGGCGGGTAATACGCTGTCGGTTGTTGTTTATTTTACCGCTTAATTTGGTTGAAAATTCCCGCGCTTTTTTTAAAGTAATTTTTTAAGGGCCTCTTACGGGCTTAGACTTACATAAAAGGGGTAGAGATCTTTTCCGGATATCTTCCTCCAAAACAATCAAATCAAATTATCCGAACCTTTAAAATTTGATCAAATGGTAAAAAATTATGATAACTTTTAAAAAAATTTACCAATTTCTCTGTTTTTGACCGTTTGATCAAATTTCAAAGATCTGGATCACTTGATTTGGTGGCTTTGGAGGAAGAGATCCGAAAATGATCTCTTTCCATATAAAAGAAACCCAATTTGCTACATCAATGTGTTCAATCGTTATATCAAATTACACTTGGCATCGTTTTAGATTTGGAAATCTAATTCTTGTTTGGTTTTTGTCATTCAATTTTAACGAATTTAATAAAATCTTCGATGCAACACAAATTTATGTTTTCTAATCATTTCCAGGTGACGATAACTTGAATTTTATACTAATTTAAAAATTATTGGCAATGCATGCTTTAGGTATGCACAAGATTTCCAAGCAGAGAAAAGCCTCCATGATCACAAACATAATCATGGAGCTGGTCTCAGATATAAGGGTAAGTAGCTTTCTGGATTTGGCTCCCAATCCCACACCGAAAAGGCACTCGAACACTTCATCCATCTCCTTGTCATGTCTGGAAAATGCCTATCGATGACGTCCTTCAAAGTCTCGGTCTTGTTAACCCATTCGAGGCCTTTCTCCGTGTATGTCTTCGAGTTGAAATTGGTCGTGAAGAAACGATCAGCTTCTAGCCTCCTAATTACATTGCCGATTGCACATATAAGTAGAAATGTAAGCATTTTACACTCAACAATGTGATGTTTTATAAGGGGGGTGTTGAGCATGTTGGGTTTACACCGCATACGTACCTTGATGCAATCAGCAGAAAGATGAAGAAAGCCGTCTCGCTAATCGCGAAGCCCTTTATCTTCTTCTCCGCGTGTAGTCCGACTAGCAAATCAAGCTTCTCGACGTCATCTCCATACACCTCCTTAAGAGCTTCTGCAACTTCTTGATCATCTGTCAAATCTTCCCATCTGCTAATAGGAATCATCAGCAGGTTCCTTCTGAACTCGTTGTACCGCGCAACTCCTCTCTCTCTGTCTCTGTAGACTAATAACATTGATCGACAATTTAAGAGTCGTGAGAAAAAAAATATACAAAACCTCTTAGTCAATCATGGTTCGAGAATTAGGGGAGATTAATATGGTTTACTTTCTAATGCAGCCATATCTACTGGATCTTCTCGATCTTCTCCGTTACTGTCATGTGCAACGAGGTCCCTCAACCATGAGGGATAGTTCCACAATGTGACAGCTCCACATGCCTGGTGACCCATCGATACCAGCATTTGCTCCATCCCGATTTTTGACAGTCTTCGTTCTCCTTCCTTGCCCGCCATATCTCTCATAAGCATCCTGTGACATATAGCAGGACATATAGTCTTGCATACACACGAAACAAAAAGAAAGACTTTGTTCGAGTACTTGTGGAAATATAGAGAGAATTAAGAGGAAAGTTAAGAGGGATATACTCTTCTAGTATGGGAGGGCATTTGTCTTCCGAATCTGTAGACTGAATGTCCCTAACGACGAGTTTATCTGGCAGTAGCGAATGCATTCTGTACACGCTTACAAACTCTTCGGTCAGTGAATACGGAACTCCATGATATCTAGGCTTCTTATGACCAACCAATCCAGTAAGTATTGGTCCTAATATATTTCCACAAAAATCTTTGAACCTCTTCCCCAGAAAGCCATACCTGCAACAGAAACAGTTAATCGAAATTTGGTATTCAGCGAACAGTGCAAAAAAAAACCAAAATGACTGCATCAGATTAATATTCCTGCCTCCATATATGTCCTAAATTACCAGTTGATTCTCATTCCGGCCACAAGAGTATCGGTCTTTAAGAGTTCGACAGTCCAATCGATTGTGTGGATTTTAGCAATGACAGCTGAAGTCACCAATCTTGCATGCCTGTAGAGATTTTCATCATCCAAATCTGGGTGATATACCTAAAAGACAACATATCCTCCTATTAGCTAACAATTGCGTAACATATTTTCGTGCATTAGTCTAATCCTGCTCGCGAATACAACAACGAAAACTTTTGATGTATAGATGCAGAACTACGAAACAAAGAATTATAACGAACTGAACTTACTTTGAGCATGTCACATACAGAATTATGTTCTTTGGCAAATAATGCTTGGAGAAGGGAGAATCCAGCCCAGCAATTTCGAACATCACCAGAGATAGGGATACCTTTTTCGTCATGCTGAAGGAGCCCATCTCCGGAAATCTTCAGCTTTCCATCTTTGAATGTCCTTACTCTCTTCATGCCCTCCATATCATTCCCATAAATTACGCTCCCATCCCTGTATTTAGATGATCACCACACGAATGTCAAATTGTTTGCTTTTGTACAAAAATACTCATGAGCTCGCGTACACACACACATGTACACTTAGATGCGAACGAATTTTTGGACTAATTTATAAGAGTTATGAACAAAAAAAATGCTTGCAAAAACTTACCACCAGGGAGTCCTTGCATTCAAGGAACCAGATTCTGAATTCGAACCCGTTGGAAGTTTTTTGGTCTTATAGAACTTGAATGATTTCAGAGGGCACCCAGATGAAATTTCTTCTGGAGCTTTAATCTCCACCTATACTTCCATCATATTACTAGCTAAATTAAGTTTTTGGTTTAGACATTGGGAACTGATATAAACACGACAAAAAAGTCATCATGCACTTATACTTCGTAAAAACATAAGGAAAAACTTTTACTTCGAACCATGAACAGTGCATGATGACCTTTTTCGAGTGTCAATAACAGCTCACTCGATATAACAAAATTAATTATAAATAATTAATCACCTGCTCAGTGTCCTCCAAATGATCGACCCAGTCATGAATCATGAATTGGATCCATGAACATGCTATCATGTTGAACTGCTTCCCATTGTCTATGAATTTCTTCCTTGCCAAAAGCTTTGAGGCTACAACTGTAGGGTGAGGCTCCATCAACTGTCAATACAAAACAGTTATCTTTCAGCCCATCTGATAACCATTTGGCAATCAGTTTTCACTTCTCTCAAAGGCAAGAAACCAAAAACAAAAACAAGGTCATTTAGTACTTAATTACTAACCCCATATGGTGAAGTTGAAGGAGGCATGTTGCGACCGAAAAAGGTGCCTTGGCTACCGATGAGATGGTCGTGAGGGTGATTGCATGTCCCGTCAGCCATCCGATACCAGACTGTTTTGGTGTCGTATTTCTGGCCGTTGATTCTTCCGACGTGCAAAAGGTTGTAACGCTGGTGCAAGTGCCTTCTAATCCCCAAGTATGCAAGCCCTAGCAAAACTGGCAGTCTGTGCCATAATCCCAGCTTGTCCACAAAATGAATAACCTGAAAAATACACAATCATGTATTAAAAGTTCGGTCTCTCAACACTCAGTCTCCACTTCATGAGACAAGGTTCCGAGTGAGCGAGTTCAAATCTCATTAACGACAATAAGATCAATGAGAGAGAGATACATAGAACAACAAGGCGTCGAAAAGAGACATTTTGGCAACAATATGCTGCAGTTGAGGATGAATGAAGGTTGAAGAAGAAGAGAGAAAGGAAAATGTCATGTTTTGCTACTTCTATTAATATTTCGTATAAGTAAACCGAAGGGTGAGTGAAAATATTCTAAGATCTGGAGTCCGCTGGGGTTACCAATGAATTTAAAGGGCGGGCATTTCTTTATTGGCACCCAACAGTCCACGAGAAACGGTTGCGGTCTAAGTGTCTAGCTAGTCGAGAAATTTTTATGTATATCCAAAAAGCATAATGCTCGTTTAATCTTAATTGAATTGTAACGTCACATGATGACGGTGTACTGAAAAAATCTTGTAATCTAGTCATTCTCACATTTTTAAAGACAATAAATGTTCAGAAAGTTTCAAGCTCTTCTATCTACATTAGGCCATGTATCTTAAAAGGAAGAAGGAGAAAAATAAATTTGGTGAAATTTCTCAACTAAGCTTTTGTGATTTGATGATTCCGACTCTTTTATCTATTTTCATGCTATCTTCTCCATACATATTCCGTATTTATTTTTTATTAATACCATTCACTTACAAATCGAAAAATAATTACTTGAAAATATGAACAAACATCATAATTAACAAAGTTAAGTAAATTAGTAACGATACTTTATACTGTGATTTTGTACAGAACTTTCCACACAAACTAGGTTCCATCTCTTCAAAGTGAAATGTGAAAAAAAAAATTGTGTGGGGCTAAAATATTGCCCCTTAATATAACCAATCAACTTATTATGATACAACTAGATAACAAGTTCATGTTTAGAATATAGGTTTTTTTTTTTTTTTTAAAGAAAACTAATAAAAATGATTTGAAAATTTTTGAGTTTTAAAGATAAGGACAAAATAAAAGGTGAAGTAAATAGTACCACGATTGACTTTTAGTGTAAAAATGTGGTTTTTCGTTAAAGTAAACAATACCAGAAGCTTTTCATTAAAGTTCCCTTGCAAAAAACAGATCGCTTGTAAAAATATATATTTTATTAATTATACCACGTGATTATGTTCAAATACTACACAATATATAATTTCTCATCTCTAAGTGTAAACTGTATAGGTAGTATATGTTAGTTTGATGTCCAATGAATCTTACGTCACTTGTACACTGCTACTTAAACATCTCATGTCCATGATACAATGTCTTGTACCCACAACGTCAGATTAACAATGTAATCGTGTCATCTGAGCGTTTCATACTGCCTCACATGCAGTTTCATAAATGCGCATACCTAACCCAACCCTAGTCGCGTTTGGTTTATATTTCTCGATCGTGGAATGCGTAGGTGATCCCTGTCAAGTGGCCATCGGAGAATGATGTTAATATTCTGTAAGGCAGATATCCAGATCAGTTGCGCACCTTAAATTACGTGTGAAATGTTGTGACTTGAGATGCATCATCACTAGATATGTATTTTTCCCATTTATGTACCGGAATTTTGATTGTTGTCTAATGCTTGATAAATGTATTGTTGCAGTGCCTATTCATCCACCGATCCACTGCCATACATTTCCAGCAATCATACTAACAAACCACTAGCTACTTCGTCACTATCTATACGCTTACGAATATTTCAACTATATACAAATGATCACTGTTATAAAACACATTTTTCAGACAAAAGGATCTCGTCCGGCGAAATAAAGTTTTCGTTGCCAAAGGTTTTGTCTGACAAATTTTCGTCGAGCAGATATGGGTTTTGACCGGCATACTTTCGTCGGACAAAAATCGTCGCGTAAATATCTTAGTTGAAAATGTTGCACGTCGAAATTTTAGAATTAATATAGGACTTTTTTCACCCTTGCACAATGTCATGTGTGAAAAGATAGGACTGTTTCATGAAAAATATCTCTCATCATCTAACTTGGTATACGCCTACCGACAAATATATATTGTAATTTGCAACCAGACTATTATTTAAGACACTTCTTTTTTTTTAAATTTATTTATTGAACTCGTTTGATGGTTGGGGTACAATGGATTGGATGAGTTAATTTATTAAATTGATGTACGTTGAAGTAAGAAATTGATACAACTTTTAAATTTTTTCAAAGTTGTAATTTATACGTAAAAAATGGATTAGTCACGAAAAAATATCTCCCTTCCAATGCTAACATTTTTGTAGAATAAGACGAATAAGTTTAGCTAATGTCCTGTCCATCTTTTATCTATAATTTCGACAAAATTTGAAAGTTGCATCAACTTTTACACTATGGGTTCATTCGTGAACGAGACAAGTTGATATAGGATCCCTCTTCTTGACATGCCCCCTATTAGGAGAGATTTTTTTAGTGTGCTCGGAACAAGGGGTGAGACATCACTTGTCACTGTATAAGTAGTGAGATATTTGTGTTAAAAAATTAACAACATAAAAATAAAATTTTCCTAACTTATATAATTACACGTGGTACCATCCATCCAGGAACATGAAAAATTTCTCCCTTATTAGTAACCGAAGTATATAGGCCCATGAGATCAAAGTACCTTGGCAGCCGTTCCTATATGTGAATTCCAATGATCACACATACTTCATGTCATCTCGATTGTATTGTTTATACATTTAGTTTAAAAATTCACTGTGTGTATGAAGTTCAATGACCACACATATTTCACATTACCTCGATTGTATTATCTAAGTGTTTGATTTGAAAACTCGCCAGACGCAAGTGACCGAGTTGAAATGAATCTCACATCTTTTCGTACTAAAAAAAATTGTTATTAACAAAATCCAAAGAGCATCCCGCCATGCAAATCCAAAAGTTAATTTTCATTGCATAAGTCAAATAGTTGATTGTTAGATATCTATCGCTTCATCGCAATTTGATGCTATTATATTCGTGATTCATGTCCCACTACGACAAACCTCATTCATGTTCAATTATCCACTAGTCCATTGTCTCCACTAGTCCATTGTCTACAAAAAAATTAATTTTTTTTGGCAATGGAAAATTCAAAAGGAATTTTAACGAAAAGCTCCGATACTGTTAATTTTAACGAAAAATTACATTTTTATACTAAACAGTCAATCCTGATACTATTCATTTTATCCTTTATTTTTTCATTATCGTTAAAACTCAAAGTTTTCAAACTTTTTTTTATTAGTTTTCCTAAATTCAAAAAGGTTTTCTCATTGTTTGAAATTCTAATGGTATACGTGGCCATGTGCCTTTTTTTTTTATTAGTGTACACCATTGGTTTGTAAATTAGGTTTTTTTTTTAATTTTTTTATTTTGTAAATTAGGTTTAAAAATTGGCTCAATTAGAATCTTTTACATTTTTCTAACTTTTTTAGACTAAATATATATTCTTTTACTAATATTAGTTTAACTAATGTCTTAATAGCATTTGCCTACATATTTTGTATGTATGAACATATTTTTTTTAGAAAATGAGGAGAGAGGGAGAGAGGGAGATAACGTTGGGGGGGGGGGGGGAGTGGGAGGTTTTTTTATTTTAATTTTTAAAATTTTAATTTTAAATATTAGGGATATTTTAACATCACTTGTAGATGAGACTTTAATAAAAAACTTAAAATTTGAACCTGTGAAATTACATTATTGCCCATCATTTTTTTATTGTATGATAGAAGACTAAGTTGTCTTTTTATCCTCTTTTGGTTGACAAAGAGAGTTTTATTAATTAATAGAGATTACTACTAAAAATGAGTAACTGATTTTTCGTTATTATATTTAATTAGTTTATTCATTCATTAAAAAGTCATTAATACTTTCATAATAAAACTTCATCAATTTGTTATTATTTAACGCACAGTTTAGATTCTAAACGTACCAAGAAACAAAATGTACTAGGAATCCAAATATACTTACCAATATTATTGATAATCACACGTACCAATATAATCAAACCTACTTCTAATAAAATTGCAGAGAAAATATTTAATCAAATTCTTAAAAGAAACATAAGCTTAACAAACAAAATTGAAATCGATTGCACTACAAAGCCCAAATGAGCCCAAAAATAACAGAAATTCAAAAAAGCCCATGTTCAAACCCAAACGTTTGTTGGGCCATTAAACCCAACTTGGAAAAGCAGGACGTATTTAACAAAAAAAAAAAATCATTAATTCCCAAAAGAACTCATTCGTTAATCGTTACCAGAGCGCGCCGGAACGCTCACGCCTCCCGCACTCTCACCGTCGCACACAATGTCTCCTCCCTCCGATGACGACCAAGACCAGTTTTCCGTCGACGAAGAAGAAGAAGACGATGACCTTTTCGAAGCGGACATGGAAGCCCTACGGCGGGCCTGTATGCTCACCGGCACTAGCCCCGACGACCTCAAAAACGACGGCGGCGGCGGCAACGACGACGAACGCCAAGCTTCTGCCGACTCAGAGTCCGACTCCGACGCCGACGACGATGACCTCGAGTTGCTCCGCCAAATAAGGAGCCGGTTCTCAAATTCGTCCGACGCGTGCGAGCCTTTGTCTCTGAAGCCCTTGTGTACTTTGCCGCCTGATGCCTCCGGCGACGAGGAGGACGATTACCAGACGCTCCTCGCCATTAAGAAACGTTTCTCAGCCTACGGGAACGGTATGCTGTACAGACAATGTATATGCTTGTTTGTATTTGATGCGAAAAGTTTAGCTTTGATGAATTGGTTGATATTGAATGGGTGCTGGAATCAAACTAGTTCATCAGGATAAGGACCTGTAATTACTTAGGGAACGGTAATTAAGTAACTTTTTCTTGTCGTTGCGCCTTGATTCAAAGTTCACTCCAAAGCGGTACACTTCAGGAACAAGGATATATAAATTTGTAATCTTTAGCTATCACTGAGTAACTTGAAGGTGTTGCATTTTTTAGCTACATTAGGATTTGGAATTTTGGAGTACAATTTTAAGGATTCATCCGCTGAAATTGACTCATTTGAGGTCGGTTTTGTGGCAAGCATTGCAATGGTACTTTTCGGCTCAATGCCACAAAGAAAATGGTGTTTTATTTGAAGTTTGTTGTATATTTGCATGATTGAATTGGAGCTAAATCAAGTTCCTGAGTCCCTTTCCGGATTTGATGGTACTTGAAGTTGAATGGATATGCTTAAATATTTTGTTGTCATCTTTTTTGCAAGATTTCATGTCCTCATCCCCATTTTAATTGTACCTCATACAATATTATTTGGATTTTCAGATACTCTAGAAAATGATACGAAACAGGTTGGTTCCTGTTGCAAATCGGTGAAGGAAACTTGCGATGAAATTTCTGCTATCAGAAATGATGCTCTTGAAAGGTTTCCAGATCCTGAAGATGCTGATCTGGCCACCAATCCACTGAGTGATAATGCAGAGGGACAGTCTTCTGCGTTGATTGTGTGGAATCAGTCAGATTCTTGCAGCACGTCCATGTTGCCACGCAAAGACTCGAGCTTCCCAAAGGCTGCTCAGGTGTTTATGGATGCCATTAAGAAGAATAGGGCCAGTCAGAAGTTTATCCGGAATAAGTTGATCCAAATTGAAGCAAAAATTGAGGAGAACAGAAAACTGAAGGAACGTGTTAAAATCCTTAAAGACTTTCAGGTTTCTTGCAAAAGACGAACTTGGGAATCATTGTCCCAAAAGAAGGATCCTCGTGTCCAGTTAATTTTACCGAAAGGGCCAAGGGATTCCAGGGATTCAAAGGTTAGTTGCTTATTTTTATATGCCATTCCTAAGTTCTCTCAAATCTGTTTTGATGATTATTCATTTTTTGGTATTTTTGAATTAATTTTGTACTTTAGGTTTAGGAGTAGTTGGTCAGAATATACTCTAAAGTTCCACTTGTAATAATATTCAGCCCTGTGATTGTCATTTTCCATGACAATCTTAATATGATTGTTTTATGGGACATTTTCTTTTTTTGTTTGCTTCTCCTTTTATTATAGTATCACTAAATTCTCTTGGCCTCATAATTTTGATCAGCTCAATCGATGTTTTAATTTGTATGCTTGAACATCTTAGTCTGTGGTGTAGTGAAAGAGTAAAGTAAAAGAACCGCGTTGATTACTAATCGCTTGGCCTAAGGTTGCATGAGTGTTTGAAAAGAAATGTTCTAATTCCTTTCAGCAAGACTGTTCGCTTTTATTACTAATGTTTTCTAGCTTCCTTCTAATACCTGGGATGCCTATTGTTTCTGCAGGTTCATGACAAAAAGATCTCAGCTTTGTTATATGGCCCAGAAGAGAACTCTCATGTCGCTAATTACAGAATGACGATGAAAAAATATCTGGACTCATTATATCGAAAAAAATGGTCAAAGGTAGAAAGGGAAGCCCTTGAAAAGGGTATAAAGCAACAATTTCAAGAAATGGTGCTCCAATCTTCTGTTGATGAATCAAGGTTTGTTAGGTCTTATTTTATTTCTTATGGTGGCATGTTACGTGATTTTTAATGTGTTCTGTGAAACCAAACAGAAGTTTTGAAAGTTCAGAACGAGCTTTAATATAGTTTTATTTTTGACATTCATGGATGGAAGGCATATATCTCTATCCCAATATATTATAAGTACAATTCCAACGATGTGATTCATTATGGTTTGTAGGAGAGTGTGAGTGTAGAATGCCTTTGTTTGTCAAGCTCGTTCTTGGTTGAATACAAAAGGAGAACGTGATTACCTTGACTACAAGCTGTAATTTTTTTTTATACAACGAAACTTTACATTGTTTCTTAAACATGTGTTCTCTGACTCCACTTAATCCTTGACAGTTTTTCCGAGAGACCTTGTGGAGAATCTAATCATATTGATGACATTTTGGCTTCAATCAAAAGTCTTGAAATTACCCCAGAAATGATCAGAGAGTTCCTGCCTAAGGTTAAATGGGAACAGTTGGCTTCCATGTATCTCCCGGGTCGTTCTGGTGCAGAATGTGAAACAAGGTATGAGATATTTTAAATGGTTCCTTGTTGTTGCAGAATTAAACTTTCTAATGGGTTATTCATTTTCATATTTCTATGTTGCCCAAAATTTGAAATAAGTTTCTTTGTTGAATCAGTATGTTGGCATACATCATAAATACATGTAAACTATTTATATTATATGTTATTCGAAGAATATTCATGTTAGGTTTTTGCTTCCTCTCTCTGTGAGTGCAACCTTGGAAAGAGACCTTAGCTGAGTATATGGTTTATCACACTTCCAACTTTATGTTTATAATTTTACAAAAATAGTCGGTATGGTAACTTCGTTTCATAATATTTGTGTGATGAACAAGTATGATTAAGTAAGCAACTGAACTTAGGAGATTTTATTATACCTATTGCCATTTTACTGGAATGAATTAATTTCATTTTGTTTTGCGCCTCAAAGTGTGCCGTTCTTGACTGGTGTTTTTGTCTCTATTGATTTTCCTGAAGCATTTGTATTCTTCAATGAAGCGAGTTTTGGCAGATGTCTATGGGGTCACCATCACAGACACATTTACTATTGTTGGATTTAATTAAAAAATGCAAGGTCAGCATTGGTCATAAAGGTGGGACCCATACATGACATGTTTTTTACTCATAACAGTGTGTTGAGCGTGCCTGTGATAATTGCCATCACAGATGTCTGTGATGCTTTCATTAACTGTGTTTGTGAGTCCACAGTAACCGTATTCAAATGGCAGCATCTTCTGTTTCTTTTAGTTTGATTTATCTAATTCATCCTTGCAGGTGGTTGAACTGGGAGGATCCTTTAATCAATCGTAAATCATGGACTGCAAAGGAGGACAAGAATCTTCTGTATTTTGTCCAGGAGAAAGGGATCAATAATTGGTTTGATATTGCAGTGTCATTGGGGACAAACAGGACTCCTTTCCAGTGCTTGGCACGGTATCAAAGGAGCCTAAACGCTTCCATACTTAAACGGGAGTGGACCAAGGATGAGGATGCAAAGCTTCGCTCTGCTGTAGAAACTTTGGGTGAGGGTAATTGGCAGGCTGTAGCTTCTGCATTGGGAGGACGAGCTGGCACCCAGTGCTCTAATAGGTTTGTTTTTCTGTCTGTTTATTTTCAAAATTTTTGGAGCCCCCTATTGCTAACTCAAGAATCCCATTTCATGCTATTTTGCATTCATCATTCCGTCTATTAGAATCTGGTTTTCTTATGGCAGCATATTTCATACTTCACAGATGGAAGAAATCTCTTCACCCAACCAAGAAAAGAGAAGGTAGGTGGACTCCAGAGGAAGACAAACGTCTGAAAGTAGCTCAAATGCTTTTTGGACCAAAAAATTGGAATAAAACAGCTCAATTTGTGCCAGGTCGAACTCAGTCACAGTGTAGAGATAGGTACTGCTACCTCTTCTCAAGTTAAGCTCAGAAACTACCAATTGGAGAAAATTGTTAATTTTTTATTTCTTTTGGCAGATATGTCAACTCTTTAGAACCGTCTTTGAACTATGGTGAATGGACTGAAGAAGAGGACTCAAGATTGAGAGCAGCAATCGAGGAACACGGATATTGCTGGTCCAAAGTTGCTGCATGTGTGCCTCGACGTACTGATAATATGTGCTGGAGGTATGATGTCTTGATTTTGTCAAATTGATTTATTGAACCCTTTTGTTGCCTGTACTTATTTTGTCTTGGTTTCATTTTGACCAGGAGATGTAAGGTTTTATATCCAGAAGAAGTGCTCTTGCTCAAAGAACAGAAGAAAATCAAGAAGGTTGCTCTTATGTGCAACTTTGTTGATCGGGAGGAAGAGCGTCCAGCCCTTGGCCCCAATGATTTTCTTCCAGCGATTGATACTACAACCAAAACTCTAACTTATCCTAAGAAGCAGAATGGAAAATTAAGGTATAATGTTCAAATGCCCAGAAAATTATGTTTGCGATTTTCCCCACCTCTGTTATGTTGAAGCCAACAAAATGTATTTCTACAAGCTTTCTTATATTTTTCGGTTTCTTGTATTAATAAGTGGAGAATGCATACAATATTGTGATATTCTATCTCTGCTTTATATCGTACTTACCATGTCTTCCTTTTATTCAATGCAGCAAAGTTCCGAACAAGACTAGACCCAGGAGGAATAAAAACAATAGTGAAAGTTGTTCAGATGCTCATGGGATAGATAATTCTCATCAAGTTGAGACATCCAACGGACATGATGTGCCTAATAAGAAGAATAATGTTCGTAAACAGCGGCGTAGAAGGCGCAAAAGTACTGAGCCAACAGGAGAGGGTCAGGTTATTGTACCTGTTCCTGATGAGCACGTTACACACAAAGAAGAACAGAGGGAAACGTCTTGTTCTGATCAGATTGTCGGAACATCAGATGGAGATGATACTACACTTGCTGTCTTTCAACGCAATAAATCAAAGAAGAGAAATCTTGGGCCTCCCTCAAATGATACGAGAAAGAAGAGAAAGCTTGTAGTTTCTGATTGTTCTGTTCAAGATTCCCCCGCCAACAATATCCAGAAGGGAGCTGGATCGCATCCTGAAGCAGCCATCATGGTTTGCGAAAGTGAGCAAGGTGGACTTAAGTTAGACAGCGAGCCGAATGTTGCCTTCCAAGAACCTGTGATCAAAGTGGCGGGCGTTAGTCCAAAAAGTGATCATGATGCTGATGATATTCTTGCTTCCTTGGGGAAAAAGAAATCAAAGAAGAGGCGCCCTCAAACTTCCAAAAGAAGTCCTCAAGCTTGCCCTCCTTCAAGTGCGACGATGAAATCAGAATCGCTTCCAAAAGGAGTTGGTCTAGGAAAAGGAGAGGGGCTTGATCACTGTGAACCTGTGAGCGAAACAGGGAACAATCGTGCCGAAGGTGATCATGAGGATGGTGATATGACACTAGCTTGCTTTCTGCGAAACAAATCGAAGAGGCGGCGTCAATGTGGTTAAGCATATATCTTGAGTCACTAGCAGCTGTCTCAAACTTCTTCAACTGTTGCAGACTTTGATGTGTGGAGGTAAAGTCTACGACTAGGGCGCTTATACATTGACTGCTTTTTCATCACAATTCGTTCGGAGTTTTTGTGAGATTCATTTTGTTCGACAAGTTTTGTGAGATGTGCACAGGTGTTTTGCTGCGTTGAGCGACCAATTTTGATGAATTCTTACAACTGTATAGTATTTTTTTATTGAAATTTGATTTTCTGCATCCCTCATTCCCTTTGGACACCATTTATAATTATAAGGAACGTAACAATATTTTCAAACATAATATCCTTTTTCTTTTTAACTAGGAACATAATCAACTTCTAATTTTTGAGTGGAAACAGTTTTTTTTAGAGTGTTAATGACAATTCTCGTTTTTCAATAACTGTGTTCTAATTTTCCCAGTATTTGTATATTGCATTATTGTTATTCGCTTTTCAAAAATGTTATTTTTTTACTTTACGTCGATTTTTTTTTTCCAAGAGCTATTCCTATGAAGAGGTAATATTCTTGCTACACCAAACACAAAGTGCAGTTGCAAGTGGCTAATTACTATAGTGGTGGAAAAGTGTTGAGCCCTTACATGAAAACATTGGTTCAAACTCTGTCTGTGGCATATCTAACATCTAATCTAACAAAATTCTATCATTTGATGAAAAAAAAAAAAAAAAAAAAAAAACAACAGGGTGCAGTCACAATCAATGTTTGAAAATATCCAAAAATTCAGGAACAATATGGAAAAAGGGAACTTCACCCCATATCAGCGATATTTCTGGAAATCGATCAATTTCCTCGATATTTTCAGGAAATATCTAGTGTTTGCAGACAATTTGCAAAAAATTTGTAAGAAATATCCATGAGCCTATTTATTCTTTATTTTTTAAAATTCTTTTTTTATGTTATTAGTTTACTTTAATAAAACTTGTACTACTTTCATGACAAAAATTTTAATTAAGTTATGTATAATTTATTCTTTCTAGTGAAATGTTTTATCCTATTACTTGTCATTAGAAGGAAGTTTTTCTTCTCACATATCACATACTTACTATTTACACAATATTGAATCAATAATTCTTGATTCATACGTGTGTTGTGACTTCATATAACATTCTGCAAAAATTAATTTTAAAATTTTCATGTTTTTGAGCAAATTTTCATCATTTCTATCGAATATTTTCACAAATTTATATATCGATATTTGTACCGATACCAATATTTTAAACACTGATAACAATTCGTCCGCTTGCAAGCAACTCCAGACTGAAATGCCATCGGAAACTTTGAACCGCGATCGCCGGGTTCAATATATCGAACCAATATGCCAAGGTAGTAAGCACATAAACAGAGTATGAATATAGGTGAGCATGCTAGTAAATATTGAATTTGATTATCAAATTCTATGCTTAACTCGAGATCAAAAGCCAATATCAAATCTTAATTTGAAAACCGAAACTAAAGTAGCTTGGCCTCAAAGCCATATATTGTCAAACAAAATGATAAAAATCCAGCAAAACCCTAAATAAAACTTTAAGACCAACTACATTTAAAGAAGGTAACTCAGTTATCCTCGAGAAAACATAAGTTCTGGAAATCAATCACTCTTAACTTCAATTTCAACGGCCGATACCCCAGACTCTGATAACTCCGTCAGTGTAGCCACTGAACAAGGTGCTGCCATCAGCGCTCCAGTTCAAACTTGTACAGTATATAACCTGCAATTCAGAGCAAGAATTAAACAAACCGAAACAATTAAGGTTCGGCCATTACTAGTATGTACAAAGATTAAGAGCCAAACAAAACCAGTCACCAAACGAAAACGCTAGTAATCATGCATCATAATCCACAATGCTAAGAGTCATTCTTATTAGCAATCAGATTGGCAACTTAATAATCCTTCTACGCATGCAATCACACAAAGTAAATACAGGTCGGAACACATTGTCAAAGCACTCAAGCAATGCGGAGTTCCTTGCAGGGCCTTAAATGCTGTAACGAATGTGAATGAAAAACCAAGATTGGAGCAAAACACCAACACTATATGAAACAAGCAAAACGAAAACCACCATGGAGTTGACATTACCAAAAGAATGTAACTTCCATGTTATGAGTTTGTAACAGGGGAAGAAAAGACAGACATCACACAAAGCTCAAAAGTAATTCGAAACAAAACAGCATTATCAATTAGTGAGCAATGCACGTCATCTTCAAAGAAAACACTTGTCAAAAGACTTGAAGCTGAGCAAAGCAGAAACTCTACAGAGCAAAGTTCAGCTCATTGTGTATGATCATTATAGGGGATACGACGGCCAGGACGAAAACAATAATCAACTCTACAATCGATAGGAGGTTCATATCCAATGCAAATTACACAACAAATCCATACCGTTATTCCAACGTACTAATACCAATAAACAATTAAGATAAAAAAACAGCTACACATAGGTAACAAAATACCACACTATACATACCACGTTTGCGATAACAAAATAAGAGAAGTAACAAATAGACAATATAATCAACAAGCAATTTCTTCGAAACCCGAAATCACATTACAGAAACAATCATAATTGAAACACAAAAGTTAGCAGGTGATCAATTGACACAAATGAAAACAATGTGTAACGTAGAACCAGTACTAAAACAAACACAGCTAAAAAAAGTATACCTTCTTCTTGTATGAAGTAGCAGCATGGGTATCCTCAGTCTTCTCAGCCTCGGTCTTGAGATCGACCTTCAACTCCTCCACAATGGACTTGCTCTCCAAATCCCAAATCTTGATGCTCTGCTCGGTTGCGGCACACAGCCAGTACCTATTGGGACTGAAGCAGAGAGCGTGGATGATGGAGCCGGCCTCAAGATGATACAGCCTCTTGCCCTCTGCCAAATCCCAGAGCAGAATTACTCCGTCTTTGCCTCCGCTGGCGCACAACGAACCATCAGGTGACACCGCAACGGTGTTCACATACCCATTGTGGCCCTCAAGAGTGTTCCTCAGCTTGCAGTTAGACAAGTTCCAAACTTTCACAGTCTTGTCCCACGAGGCGGATACAATGGTAGGCTGCATCGTACTGGGGCTGAACCTGACGCAGCTGACCCAATCGCCATGCCCATCCTGGTCCTGGATGGTGAACTTGCACTCACCGAGAGTGTTCCAGAGCTTGATCGTGCGGTCACGGGAAGCCGATACGATCTGACGGTTATCAATCGAGAAAGCCACGGAGAGCACATCCTTGGTGTGACCCACAAAGCGGCGAGCAGAGACGCCGAGGGCCAAGTCCCAGAGGCGGAGCTCGCCGTCCCAGGATCCAGACAGCGCGAACTGGCCGTCGGAGGAGAGGACAACATCCTCGACGAAGTGGGAATGCCCGGTGAGCCTGCGGCGGGGGACACCGTAGGTCTTCTCGTCCTTGTTCAGGTGCCAGAGGATGATGGACTTGTCGCGGGAGGCGCTAACGATCATCTCGGAGTTGTCGATTGGGATGGCGATGGCCGTCACCATGTCGGTATGCGCCCTCATGGTGCCGCGGAGAACGAGATTCTCACCCATGGTTGCTGGTGGTGGTGGTGCGCGGCGGCGGGTGTGCTAGGGTTTTCTGAGATGCGGGAGGCGGGAGAGCGAGAGTGAGAGCGTGAGGTGGAAAAATGGGGAGAAAAGAAGAATATATAGGTGAGACAGATAGGGTTGTGGGAGAGATGAGCCAGACCCGAAAGCTCAAGTGAGTGTGTAGGCTTGGGTTGCTTTAATTTGGTGACCCGGCCCGGAGTAGTTGAGGCCTAGTGACAAACTTTGGGTCTACTTTTGAAGCCCAATTAGATTGTAAAGTTGGGCCTTGTATTGCCAATTAGATTGGAGATATGTAAGGACAATACATCGATCGTCTGGCACTTGAGTTTGAATTATATTGAGCTTTCGACCTAATGATATTTGAATCCACATTCAAAGTTCAAATCACCCTACTCCGTTACTATGAAATACTTTTTTTGGTTAAAAAAGTGGGCTAAACACTAACAAATAAAAAAATGAAACTTTAACAAAATGTTTCCAGTACAGTTCACTTTAACGAAAAACCATATTTTTACACTAAAAAATCAATCCTGGTACTATTCATTTTATCCTTTATTTTATCTTTATCGTTAAAACTCAAAGTTTTCAAACCATTTTCATTAGTTTTCCTATAAAAAAAAAAAAAAACTACATCAAAATAGCTCGAGTTCTTGCAATACGAGTTATGTCCACAAAGACGAGCTTGACTTAAGGAGGTCAACTCTTCTTAAGAAAGTCTCAACATCCCATAACTAAAGCACTCAAAGGTTACCACTTACCAGTGTCAATATAATTATGGTTTAGCTCACGTTACTAGTGAGAAATGTTGATGTCCCATAGCCAAAATACTCAAAGGGTGTGTTTGTTTGGCATCACTAGCCCTCACTGAACTAGACTGGACTAAGTTTTAGTCTAGTCTTATGTTTGTTCCTTACCCGGACTAAGTTTAGTGGGATTAGCAGGGACTAGTCTCGATTGAGTCCCTCGCTAACAGGTCTTAGCAAGACCCTTCGTTTCGGAAAGGACTGCTCAGCCGCCCTCTAATCCAGTCATCTCCTTTCTCCTGTGATTTGATCCTCGCCCTGCTCCCTCCTTGCCCAACTCCCTTATCGTCGTCCACCTCATCCTAATCTTTGCGTCCTACTCGCCCTTAGCTGCATCCTGCTCGCCCTCATTTGCTCATCTTGTTTGGTAAACTTCAAATTCGACATTATTTCTTCGATTTGTTTTGCAGATTGTGATATTATTGGGCTTATTTGATTTAGGTGTTTTGGGTTTGAGAAATTTTCAATAATAGACCTCTGCACTTGAACAAATTAGGGTTTTGATTTTTAGGGTCAATTTGAGATTAGAATTTGGAGTTTTCACATTTTATGTCATTTTCAGTCCCAAAATGGTGATAATCATCACGAAATTGTTGTTGTAAGGGCGGATGCAAAGTTAAATTTGTAATTTAGGTCTAGTTTCAACAGATTTTGGTATCAGGTTGGACTAGAGTTTTTGGATTTTGGTATCAGGTTTGAGAAATGAGTTGAGTTGCATTTAGTAACTACACTCAAAAAGACATTCACACACTATCATGTATAAATTTCATCTTAAACCTTACGGGTAGGATCTTAATTGTTGCAACAGGTTCACAAGGTTCCAGCAAATGACATGGAGACCCTTAAATCTCCATTCATGGGTCTGTTTAAAAAGTGCCGTGCACGCAAGTTCATCCTATATGTTCAAGATTATAGTGAAACTGATCCTAAAACACATGAGGGAATGGACTTAACAAGAGTGATAACTAGAGATTTCATCTTATGCCTTACAAGTGTGCATATGGTTGTTTCTATTTATAGGCATGCAAGGGACACAATATCTTTTCTGTTCTTCTGTATCTTGCTTGAAGGGTGAAGAAAAATGCTTATTCCCCAACACTAATTAAAAATTTATTGTATTTTGACAGGTTAGGAATGTTGGTAAGGTTGCAAGAGCTATTGCCATCATGAGCCTCCCAATTCAGAACACCAATGAATCTCACTCAATGCAAGTTATCTTACCATAAAAGCAGTTAGGTCGCATATCAGATATGTGAGTTCTTTTATCTTTTTGTTTGGGACCAATATTTATTTTGCAATGAATGCCATGTGCATATTTGAGAAGGTCATTTGTAATTGTTGCTTTAGAAAAAACACTCTCATGACTTGGTTGTTTTATGCTATGGCAAGGAAATGGATTTTCTTTAGTAGGAAGAAAGGAATGGTATAGTTTATATGCATACAATGTCTAAACCACAATTTTTAAATTTCTGCTGTGTAATTGGATATGCAGTTGCAATGTTATATCAGGTAGAGGGTATAGTCAGTTATATTATTCTATAACTGTTGGAAGGGTTTCGTGGTAACACTTGCTTGATGCATATTAATATTAGGCTTTTTAGCCAAAATGGTCCCTGAGATTTGCATAACTCCTCACTTTGGTCTCTGAGATTTCAAATCGATAAAAGTGGTCTATGAGATTGTCCACCATCCATCAATTTGGTCATTCCGATAGGTTCAGGGTATTTTTGTCAAGTCAAGTTCTCCACTTGCTTTTTCACCCTTTTTCTGTCATCTCTTTCATCTTTTCTACCAAAGTTCTCATCTCTCTACATTCGTCCTTATCGGTTGACAGAGAAAAGGGAAAAAATGATTAGGGTTTCTGAATTGGGGGTTTGGGTGACAGAGATTCGATCGGTGTAGAACTACGGTTGAAAATCAGAAATCGGTAAGGAATCTTTCGAATTGGTGGATTGCGAGGCAGTGAAGTTGATTGCAAGATGGTAGACCATTTTTGCATATATGGGAAGGCTTCCACATATGGCAAGTTGCATTTGAACCATATAATACTAAGATTGTTGATACATTTGAGATACTTAAGTATTTTAAAATGTTTAGTTGTTGGTGGTGTGGTCCTAAGGTGTGGGTTTTTGTCATTTTGTATTGAAGGTTGCCTTGGTTTGCATTTTGGCTTTTTAAATGGCATTGTAGTGGTTGATGTGTATGTTTACTGCTATCTTGTAGTGTGGAATAGTTTAAAGGTTTTGGCATTGAATAAGAGTAGGGAAGATATGAGGAAGTAGGGTCCTCTAGTTTTTGACATCTAACCATTTTGCAACCTTTTCTTCCTTTTGGTAAGCTTATTGATTGAGTGCTTTCCATTCACATTTAATAAGTCTATTTTTTGTGGAAGCTTTCCATTCTCATTCATAGTTGGAAAGCAACACCGACAATAAACTTTATAGGCTTTTGCATACAAATATAGCTCCTCCCTACACATACACACACACACACACACACACACACACACACACATATATATATATATATAGTTGACATTGAATAATGATTTTTTTTTTTTGCCACTGTACTAATACATCCTCATGTGAATAATGGTTTTTTTGCATTGAATAATGCAACTAATCCGAACAAATTCACTTACAAAATCCACCATGGGGGTCAGATCATTTAGAAGGGAAGTCAACAAAAATACATTGGAGGTGAAGTTATTTTCTTAGATTGGGTTTCTGGCTCAGCTGATCAACAATCTTTGGTGGAATGTCATGATATTGCAAGACAATTGGGGTATCAATTGGAATTAAGCATGCATAGAAAAAAAGCCTACTGGGATATGATTTGTTGAAATGACACGTGATATAGAAGTTTTGGCTTTAATTGATGAAATGGGAAAAAACAGGATGACAAAATTATTTATGGTTGACAAGAAGAAGAAGGATGTTGGTGAAGGCTCAACTAATGTGGATGTATCAGTAGAGCAAGAGGTTGAGATAACAAATAAAGGAGATGTTGTGTCTTTTCTTCAAGATGTTGAGGGACAAAATAGGGAAGATACAGATGTTGAAGGGGAGAAGAATGAGGAAGTTGCAGATGATGATGTATTTAAAGACAGTGATTATGAGCAGGATTCTGATATTGAGCTGCAAGTTGATTATGAAGTTGATGATGATGAGTTTGAAGAACATGTAGACCAACCTATTACAGAAGAGCCCGAAGAAATGGGGTTTGCATGAGAGATATCAGATGATGATGCTAATCTTGTGACTTTCATAGCCTTGAAAATGAAACTTCACAAGAAAAAGATGAATTTGATGAGGTAACCAGCAAAAAGAGAAAGAGGTAGCGGAATAAGCCTACACCAAAGTTTAGAGAATGGCATAGAGGTACAGACTTGAAAAATCCTGACTTTTGCAATGGTATGTTTTTTTCTAATAAACCACAATTGAAGGAAGCTATCATGAATTACAGTGTAATTAATGGGAGACGTGTGTGGCTTACAAGAAATGACAAGGTTAGAATTAGAGAAGTTTGTCAAGAAGATTGCCCTTTTGTCATTTATGATGCAAGGATGCATAAATCAGCAACCTTCCAGATCAAATAACTTGAGTTGGAGCATGTTTGTGCTAGATATGAAAAAGTTTCTTAGCTTAATTCTAGATTCTTAGCACAAAGATATGCTAATCAACTCTTCATTGATCCAGATTGGTCTGTTGACTTGTTTAAGGCTGCAGTTCAGGAAGATTATGGCCAAGAGGTGACTACTCAACAAATATATAGGGCAAGGTAGAGAGCAGAACAATTAAATTGTGGTACTTGGGCTCAACAATACAACAAACTTGAACAATACGCTGAGGTATTGAAGAGTACAAACCTTGGATCAACTGTGGTTACTAAAACTCAGATAAAAGGTGATATAAGGAGATTCCAGATAATGTATATTTGTTTTGAAGCTTGCAAAAAGGGGTTTAAAGAGAGATGTAGGTATGTTATAGGACTAGATGGATGTTTTGTGAAAGGGAAACATTCGAGATAAGTTTTAGCTGCAGTTGGAATTGATGCCAATGATGAGATGTTCCCACTTGCATATGTTGTTGTGGAAATAGAAAATGAAGACACTTGGGAGTGGTTTTTGAAAATATTGATTGGTGACTTGGGGCATGAGCAATAGTCATGGCTATGCATTCATCACATACAAGTAAAAAGGGTTAATTAATGTCATTCAAACCTTGATGGCCAATGCAGAGCATAGACATTGTGTTAGGCACTTGCATAATAACTTCAAAAAAAATACATAGTGGACTCGCATTAAAACAAACTTTGTGGGAGGCAGCAAGGGCAACAACAATACCTTGGTTTCAGTCAATTATGGATAAGTTGAAAGAAGACAATGAGGAAGCTTGGAAATGGTTAAATGACAAAACACCAGGACATTGGAGTAAATCATATTTTAGCACATACTTTTAAGTGTGATATTCTTGCCAACAATCTATGTGAGGCTTTTAACAAATTGATTGTGAAGGCAAGGGACAAGCCCATTTTGACTATGCTCCAAATGATAAGGAAGAACCTAATAGTAAGGATGGCAAATAGAAAAGTGGCTACTTTAAACTGGAAGGGAGTTGTTGGTCCAAGAATTGAGAAAATAATTGACAAGTTGAAGAAAGAGAGTGGGATTTGCCTTGCTACTCTAGCTGGAGATATGAAATATCAAGTTCAACACTTATACCGGAGTGGGGGGGAGTTTGGAGTAGACTTAAGAGCCAGGACTTGTACTTGTAGGAAATGGGATCTTTGTGGAATCCATTGTGCTTACGCTATTGCTTGCATTCTAAGAAAAAAAAAAAAAAAAACAAGATGTTGCTTTATATGTTGATGAGTGTTATAAGAAAGCAACTTACCTCAACGCTTATGCCCCTGTTATTTCACCTCTCCCTGGTCCAGATCAATGGTTAAAAGTGGCATATACTATCACTATTAAACCTCCTTTACACAAGAAGCAAACAAACAGACCTAAGAAGAATAGGACAAAGGAGCCTGGTGAAAAGCCACCAGTGACAACTCATGGTGGAAAGAAGCTAGGGAAATGGGTTTCACACAGACCGTATACATGTCAACAATGTGGACATAAGGGCCACACAAAAAGAACTTGTGGAAATGAGGGTTTTACAAGTCAGTCAACACCAACTCATGGCACTTATGAGCCAAGTCACACAACTGCAAACACACCAGTGACAACTCAAGCCACTTAAGAGCCAAATCATCCAGTTATTAACACATTTACACTAGAGGTATAATCTGTTTTGTGTTGTTTTTTTTTTTTTTTTTTAAATTGTAGGTTTTGATAATGAAAGTGAAGTCCATTAAATTGGTTGATATTGTAAGTGGGCATGGGCATAGGCATGGGAAGAAGAAGAGGAAGAGGAATGGGAAGAGGAATGAGAAGAGGGAAAGGCATAGTATCTAGCTCACAACCCACTCCACAAGTTCAAATGGTACATTCAGTAACCCTTTAGTTTTTGTGTTGTTTATTCTTTTCCCTTTTTTTTTTTTCAACAATTACTTGTGTAAATTGTGATAAAAGGAGTACGATTTGGATTTTATAGGGTGACTAAGTGTAAGCTATTATCTTTTGGTTTTCAATAAGTACAAGGCTGCATTGGTGTCACTTCCCAAGTAGTGCCACCACAATCACAATCCACCAACAAATGATACAAATCACCAGCAAAGAAAGGTAAGCCTTGGAAGCCTTGAGCATGAAGGGAGTTTATAGTTTGGATATCACTGCACAAATGGAAGAAAACAAGTTGCAACCATTTCTTTTCTTCTTATTTTTGAATTAGAACAGTTGGATATTGATTTTGCAGTTGAACATTGCTGTTAAACATGTGTGATGTTGTTTTTTGATGTTGAACATTTGAACACATTTTGCTTTGAGATATTTTGCAAGTTATAATGCTGATCATGTTGAAAATTTCAAGTAAGGGAACATGATATCTCTTTTTATTAATTCTTTTGATTTAGCCTTGTCTATGGATTTACAATATTTGAACCATTCATTTCATTATATTTAAGTGTGCAAACTGTACAGTTTTTTCCAAAAATTAACGAAAGGGAAAAAGTCTAATTACCGTTTACGATGATTTACTTGAGTTTGATGCCAAATCGTTTTTAATAATAGTTGAAGGGTTGATATCACTGCCAAAATTAGCAACATAAGGGTATTTTCTGAGAGCAATGAGGGAAATAGGGTGAAAAAGCAAGTGGAGAACTTGATTTGACAAAAATACCCTGAACTTAACGGAATTTTTTAACGGAATGACCAAATTGATGGATGGTGGACAATCTCAGGGACCACTTTTATCGATTTGAAATCTCAGGGATCAAAGTGAGAAGTTATGTAAATCTTAGAGACCATTTTGGCTAAAAAGCCTTAATATTATCCTACTATCATTTCGACTCCAAACTACTACCAAAAGGAGAAAACAATGGTATTTAGAGTAGGCCTCTGGGGAACTCGCGTATACTTTAAATCAATAGCTTGTTGGTGGATATTTATTCATCCCGAGTTATCCCTGTTTCTTTTTTGTTGTATTTTCTTATTACTGGTGGCCAATTCTTTGGTGCTTTATTGACTGAACAAGTATCTTTTCTGTTGCTCTTACTCTCATAATGTTGCTCCAAAGGGAAAATTTATTGCATTTGTATCAACAGACACAGAGACTGATCATCCCGAGACTGAGCTAAAGCCATGGATTGACCTTTTAGGGCCTGTTGACGAGATATTTTTTTTAAGACTTATGACAGATATGAGCCTGTTAATGAACCCACTTTGGACAATTGCTTTATATGAATTGTAAGTCTTATTCAAGCCTTGACCTATACTGGGCACTATTATTCAATATGATTTATGCACACTTGACAAAAAGCTTCTTATGTTTAACAGAGTTATGATGCCTCCACACACTTTGAGTGCACTATCTTGGATGTACTCAACATGTACACCTTAATAGCAGGGAATGAAAGAAATACAATTTTATGCATTGCCCAATTAGTTTGGTTCTGTTGTTTTCGATTTCATGTCATCCTTGAAGTCGATGGACATTTCCTTGATTAACTAACTTGCGTTTGTTTTTTTTACTGTTTCATAGAACCATGTCTTTCATATAAGGTTTAACCAAAGTTCCTGGAATGTTTGAGCAGGTTCTTGACCTCAGTGTGGACCTAAGTGCTGCTAGTGCTGCAGAAGAATGAATAGCAAAGCTGCATGTGGTGCTTGTAGTGATAATTGTGCTTTATTCCAAGTACACTGAGCTGCTTAAGTTACCTTACTCATGGCGTGGTAATCCTCATACTATGGAGGATTATATGAGTTATCACTCACTTTTAATCATAGACTTGATATGTTATAAATTGTTATTTAAATGTACTTCAAGTTTCAAATGTCATTTCAAATGAAAACTATATGTCTAGATTCCAGACATGCCCTTGTGTTGGTTCAATGTATTTTCCAGTTGCATGTGTGGAAGCATGTAAACAAAATGATAACTTGTCAAAGAACCATTTCTTTCAAGTTAATGATGTGTGGGGTGGATTTGGTTCTAATCTACTAACTTTAAACCAAAGGTGAATAATTAAGAAAAACGTTTTGAACCCTGTCGATTGTTGGGAGAACACTTTGTTATAATCATGTTTGGAACAATGCTACTCCTGAATCATGTATGTTTCTTTTGTTGGCAAGAAAATTTGGTTTTTGTATTTTTATTGAATCTCACTCTCATCCAATATTATTAATTTTAATAATATCTTTAATTAAAAAGCAATTCAAATAAAACAATAATGTAGTCCTAGTCTGAGCAAACATCAAATTGGTGATACTACTGTTTTCATTATTTTGCTTCTTAGTCCGACACTGCACTAAATACTTTATTAAACTAGTCCAGCTTAGTCTAGTCTAAGTCAGTCTAATTTAATTCTTGCAACTAGTCCAGTCTGAAACAGTCTAGTGCAACAAACGCACCCAAATGGTGCTTACTGGTGTCAATTCAAAAAATTAGTTTTCAAAACGTACCGTGAAATGAGAATGTGAAATTCGTCATCGACTGCTGCGCCCCTCGTGCTGGTTTTTTACCGAATTAGCAACATGCAATATAATGGTTAGAACTTAGAAGAAAGAAAAGTAAATCACGACCAATTGATATCTCCGTCGCCATAACGCCTTCCCTTCCCCACTCGCCTAAAAACCTTCAAAATCCTCTGAAACTCGATTCCCCTTGCTTGAAGAAGAACCGCCGTAGCAATTCACTGCGGGCGGGTTTTCCAAACACCGCTTGCGGCTCCGCCCGAGAAACCACCGCTTCAAATTTCTATTTTTTCCATTTTCCGCTCGGGATTATCTTCTTTCAGTCATCTTCCTCGGAATAACTTCACTGCTCACTGATGGAGGTTTGCCTCTCATAGCACCAAAAAGATGCTTTCTTTAAGGTCAGTTCTTCAAATTTGCCGCGTTTTGTCATCTGGGTAAATGTGGTTTGCCTCTGATTTGCTTCAATTGTTCGTTTATTTGAGATTTTCTTTGTTTTCTCTAATGGGTTTTTACATTTTGTTGATAAATTTTGATGGTAGTGAGTTAATGACTTGTACTTTGCTTTAATAATTGTTTGAATTTTCAAATTGGTAGCAATTGAATCTTGTATGGTCACCCACCTTTGATCTTCGTGTGCCGGTTTGATACTAGGGGATTTTGGAGAAGGCATAAGAGGAAGATCGTTGTTGCAACTGGTGTTTTAGGAAGTGGGTATCTTCTGTACAAATTATACAATGCTCACAGACAAAGGCTTGCTGACATGGAGACTGAACTCGAGCAAGAGCGAGAGAAAAACGATGAGCTCATCAAGGCTCAGTTAAGAGAGATTCCATTTCATTTTGTGTACTCGTATATTTTGTTGTCGATTCTTTAACTGCTCATTATTTGGTTTCTAACGATATTGTTTTATGGTTGTGTTCATAGAATGCAGGCCCATTTTGAGAACATACAAAGAATTGCTGATACAACTACACTGCCTCATGCTATGCACTATTTAAGTAGTCGGATAGCGGAAGAGTTGGACCTTTCTCACCTTACCGAGAGGTTAATGCAAGTGAAGGGGCAACCGACATCTCAAGAGAAACTTGAGTTATGGGATAGACTGAAAATTCTAAGTATGATTCTGTCATTCCTTGTTAATATTTCAATACCATAGTTTATGACTTCTCTTTGATTTGACTAGCATAAAGATATTTATAGTCAGCTCACCTTGTCCTAGCATTCTTGTATTTCTGCAGGTTTCACGAGAATGGTGTCGTCACTGTGGACAATGACGATCCTTAGCTTATATATTAGAGTTCAAGTCAATATATTAGGGAGACATTTATATATTGATACTGCACGTGGTCTTGGAAGCTCTCTTTTAATTGTAAGAACTATTTCCTTTCCCTCTTTATGCCAAAGATTTCTACTCAATAGTTATTTCAGCAGAATTGATGATTTTGGTGGAATTGTGTTGCAATACCTATCTAGACAGCATTATTCTAAGCTTACGTAGTCCAGTGCAGCTGATTTTTTGTACTTGCAAATTGTTGATTTATTTGTTTTGCAATGTATTGATGTGCCTTTATTACATATGATGAAACATCCTTGCCGAGTTTTACATTTTGTTAAGCAATCCTTAAAGGTGCAATTAATTAGTATGACTTGTGAACTTTGACATTCTGAAAATGTATTGCTGGGAAAAGTAGCCTGAAAGTGTTCATAAGCTTGTGAAATGTTACCAAACTTGGATACTGACGTGTAGAGTATCTGTTTCTTCTATGTTCATTTGAAGGCTATCCTATCGCCAAATTTTTTGTTTCAAGGATTGTATATGATATCAAAGTATAGTTTTTATAAGAGTTATTATTTATCAGATATGGCATCAGTTTCGAATGTCACTTGTAAGATGGTTTCATTTAGGATTAGGGATGTCTAGTATTTTGAAATGACAACTAGGGTGGTGGTTGAGTGACCTGATATTCACTGTTGTTGAGGAGATGATGTTGTTTTAGTGTCGGAGAATACCTCAGTAGAATAAGTATATATGTTATTGTTTTAGTGTTGGAGGATACCACAGTAGAATAAGTATAGTGAAGTCTACACACATAATTCTATTTGAAGGGGTGGGATGCATTTCTGAGCAGTGGGGCAGGCTGGATATCAATGAAACAGGTGAGATATGAGTGACAGGAGTGGTGCATGGTTAATATATTCAGAGATCACGTTCCTATTACGCTGCTTGTCAAATATAAATATTATAGCTGATTGCTGCTTGGTGGCACTCTGATTGATGCTTTCTTGCTAAAAGTGTCGTTACTTTTGTTCATTTTACCCACGACACGTGATAGACATTAGTGTTGATTTGCAATACCACTCACATCAGGCATGCTATGAAGTGCACTTTTGACAATACTATTGGTTTTGACGTGTCACTTTAACTTATCTGAATGCAATATAATTGTTATTATGTTAACAGGAGGATGCCGACCTCATTCATAGGGATGACCAGCAGAAGTTTCTCGCAAGTTCTGATTATCTCTCCAGTAATGCCTTGCCTGCTTTAATTTCAAATATCCAGGCAGCAGCAACAGATGTTCTTAATGGGTAAATCTTTGCCTGCACCTATTAGCATGTTGTATATTTGTCTGAAAATCAAAGGCGGGTTAATGCCATGTTCTATGACACGATGTCCAGGATTTTGATCTATTGTCAATAAATATTTAATACTCAAAACTGCCATAAGTTTATCACTGCCCCCAAGTTTAACAATCTAGACCAACTTCAATCTGACCTATATGGCTGAAGTTGCAAACTTCTGCTGAAAGAATGTAGCTTAACTCTGCCAGCCAAACTTACTTGTTGACTATTAGAGGTCCTAGTAAATAGTTTGGACGCTTTTCATGCGCAGAATGCAGCTGAAGGATTCCTTCAACACCACAATTCTTCATGCAACTATCATAGAAATACTTGAAAAGTTCATGACCACAGGAGAGCCCTATCACTGGGTGAACTACTTGATGTCTGAGGATGCTCGTTGGCATGAACTGGCTACAGCCTTCGGCGATAATAATACACCTCTTCCAGATGTCACCAAATTTGACCAACTTATGTTGGAGACACGGGCAGTAATATCAAGGTATGTCTACAATGTTAGGGTTGCAACTTATGTTTATTCAAAGTAACATCAACTGCACAACTCCTTAACATGGAAATGCAAGTTTCAGATACAACTCCGATGCATTTTGGTGCAAATCTCAACATTACCGACCTTAGTAATACAGATTTTGGTGTTACTTAATTCTACTCTTGTTATTCCTCGAAGGATCTTCCTGACATGCCACCTTTTTCTTTGGTAGTTTTTAGTTCCACTAATGGGAAGGTGAAATTTGGAAGTCACTCAAATCTTTTCTGTCTCCTCTTTTCAGTGCTGAATTCGGGAGTGTCGCTGAGACAGCATTGAGAGCAGTGGTGGATGCCGTAATAGAAGATATGAGTGCTCAACCTGGAGGAGGCAGTCTAAAGTCGGGAATTCAACTTGCCAAAGTTTTAGCAAGGGTTGCGCAGGCGGGTCCTGCTTTCCTCAAAGAATCAAGCAAGTTCATCCGGATCATACTAAATGTCCCACAAGTTGAGCTCTTTTTCACTCTCATCTACTCAAACATGCAAATCTCATAGAATATAGACTAGCGGCGGAACACAATTTCAGAACTTCTGTTTTTTAAGTAGATTTTTGTTGCGTTACGATCAAACCCAGCACCGGAAGAACGTGCTGATGATTTAGGGGTGTTCAAGTTATCAAAATTCAAAAGTTTGAAAGGAATGATAGAGAAAGATGTGGAATGTTTCAGTGCAATTTAGTCTTCGAACTAGCTCTTCTACTATTTCTAATTCCACATCTCAAATATTTGTTGATCTGTAATATCTTTTATATCATGTAAAATGGTCAATACTATATTACTATATGCTTGCTTATTAACTGAACCTGATGATATATCAAAGATATGAAGCGCTTTTGTGAAAAAAAAAATGTTTGATGGCTCGTTTGGAAAGCGCTTTGAAATAAGGGCTTTTGGGAAAAAATATTTTTGAGTTTCAAAATCACTTGAAATATTTATTGTAGGAAACACTTTAAGTAATTTTTCAAATTTTCCTGGCAATTTTACCAAGGATTGGTCCTAAAAATATTTTCACTAAAAGCACACAAGCCCATATTTTTTTATCAGGTGCTTCTTAAAAAGCAAAACTTCGCCTGCACCCGTTTGGAAAGTGCTTGTTTTTTAAAAGCACCTTTATTTATCAATGTTTTTTGTTGGAAAAACTCTCGTAGCAGAAGCATATTGAGAAAACAATATCAAAAGTGTTCTTAGTTTATCGAAAAGCAATTTTATCCCCTCTAAAATCTTCCAAACATGCCTGCAGGCCGTATCTACTCATCTCCAACAAAAGGGTTCAGAGGGCCGAAAATATCTTGAAAATCGTCTCCAACCGAGGATCAAGTCAAAGAGCTCGTGGGCCTCACTGGACAAAAAAGAGCCAAAGTGCCAACCAGCTGGCCCAAACCCCAAAGGAACCAGCCAGTCCTGTGTTGGGCCGGATTTGAATTCCAACGGTAACTAGCTGACGTCATGCTAACATGAGCTAACCGTTATATTTGAAATTTTTTTTTACAGATTTTTTTTTTTAAAGTTGTGTAGTTTTTAAATTTAATTTGTAGTTTTTAAAATTTAAGTTGTAGTTTTTACATATAAGTTGTAGTTTTTAAATTTAAGTTGTTGTAATTTTTAAATTTAAGTTGTAGTTTTAAATAATAAATTATGTTTGGTCCTCGGTTGGAGATGATTTTTTGTGATAGGGTTATGTTTGGCCCTTAGTTGAAGATGGTAAGAAATATGACCGTATTATTTATTAAAATATTAATTTCTTAAAAGGGTGAAAATGAGTTATTTGAACTTTTTTGGGTTGGTGATGGCCTTAAAATTTATGTTTTGGAGACCCAACGAAAAACAGGTCGGGCTCAAACGCTGCGTTTAAGTGACAATTCAATTCAATTCACAAACACAAACCCCCAAGATTTAACACCATCTCTGTCTCTGAAGCTCACACTCAGTGACGACCTCGGCGGACAACTATGGCGGACACCAACGGCAACGGCGGCAGCCATGAAGTTCTGATGCTGGAAGCTCCGCCGCCGGTAGGTCCGGCATGGCCAGGACCTCTAACCAACGCTGAAACCACTGACGCATTGCCCTACATCGACGACGACTACGCCAACCCCGACGTCAAGCGCGAGGTAGACCGCATGGTGGAGGAGGAGTTGCGGCGCAGCGCCAAGAAGCCCGCCGATTTCCTCAAGGAGCTGCCGCCTCTTCCCAAGCCCAATTTCAAGGTCAGTCCCGAAATCCTAGGGTGTCTCTTTCTAAGGGACTGTTTGGTTGCGGAGTTAAGGAATTTTTTGTGCCTGATTTGTTCAATTTGGATTGCAGGATCATCCGATGCTGGCTAGGGAATACGAACGAGTGAGAGCATCGAGGCCTCCGGTGGCGATTGATTTTTCGAGAGACAAAGTGGAGCTGCCGCCGGTGAATAAAATGAATGATGAAACTGCTTGGAAGCTTGCTCTCCAGAAAGCTCAGTGCTCTCTGCAGCACCAAGCCGTCAGGTAATCTATACATACAGATGTGTGTGTGTGTGTGTGTATATATATATATGTTTGCTGGTGATGAAACGAGCGGTTGATTTTCAGGTTGGAGAATTTGGAGCTGATTGACAAGTATGGTCCTGATGCCTGGATTCAGAACAACAATAGATTGCAATCGATTTTGTCGAGGTTCGCACGTCACATTTCATTTGAAAGCTGCAATATTTTGAGTCGCTTCTTTGTTAATTAACTCGGTCTCTGAGATTTTGCACCCGCATAAACATGACACAGCATATGCATATACATAATTCTCGCACATGTACTTATGCACATATACACGTTTGATGGTACGCATATTACCATTTTAAATGCACATGTGGTGTATCGAAAGTGTTCAACCGTCTGAATTGTCTGCAGTCAGACGTTCTGTGTAAATATGTGAGGTGGTGCCAACCGCGAAACTGCTATGCAAAATGCATTCTGAAATGCTGCATGACATACTTAATTTTGTGTTTATGATCGATATTCTCTTACTTTCCCAGACCGTATCAGTGTTATTGGGGTGAGCTTGTCTCACTTCCATATTACAATTCAAAATACGAATTTTCATGTGCAATAACTGCAAATTCTAAGAAAAATGGATTTGATAACGCTTGACGTAATGTTATTCGTTTATATTTTTCAGGATGCAGAAATTAGCTCAGGAGCAATATCAAAATATCGAAACAGTGAATCGTGAAAGGAAACATCATCAGGTGATTCAACCTATTGACCTGCCGACCTTGTACTTTTATGATGCTATGCTACCTTGATCTGATAAGTTTACTTCTTCATTGATGACAGCAAACCACTGCGTATGAGCTTAATGCTCTGGCTGCTCAATGGAAGGAGCTTTGCCAGAAGAATATAGAAATTCAATCTGCCTGTGTTAAACTTGAAAACCATCTTGAAGAATCGAGGAGGGAAGCGGCCGGAGGGTAATCCAACTTTTCCTATCTGGTGTTTTCTCTGGCATTCATTTTGCAAGCTTGACCACTAACTATTTGTTACTCACTTCAGAGGCTGGACCTTGGATGCCAATGCAGAAAATTGTTCTCTATTGACTGCTGAATGAGAAGGTATGCTTTTACGGCTAATGTCATTTGGTTTAGCGTTGATGCTACAGCTCCGTTGTATTCTTTTAAAGCCTATTATGATTCGCTTCACGGAATTAGTATCAGGTAGCCATCAGAACCAGAGTTGATTAAAACCTAGGCTTTGTCACTTGTGCCCTAGAATATGCGACGATTAATTTTTGGGTATGCTTATGGAGTATTAGCGTTGCGGTGTTATTTGGATAAGGATCCTCTCCGGATCCACTTTGTGGGGATCCTAGAGATTCTCACATCTTAATCGTTCATCGTACATCGTGCAGTTAGTTTTTGTCAGATACTATTTATGTTTAATTTTAAATTAAAAAAAATCAAATAATTTATAATCGCACAATATACGATGAATGACTAAGAAGATATACGATGAATGACTAAGAAGGTGAATCTGGATAGGATCCAATTCCGCGTTATATAACCCTAGGCTTTGTAAACAGGATTTGGATGAAGACCCGGCAGAGATCGTGATACGGGAATATTAGCGTTGATGCAACAAGCATCATAGCGTGCAGCTGGATTGATCTTTGTTGCCCTTTCGATGAGTGGTCGTTTTGCCCCAGTTCCACGCGTTGAATCCAATTGTAATTAATCATCGCACATGTTTTCAGTTGGTATTAATGTAATGAAATCTCTTTTAACTATGTTCCCGGCAGCTTTATACATCATCATCCATTTTTTACCAGGAGGAAGAGGATCCTAGAACAGAAATTATTGTAAATTTTTTTATTTAAAATTGAATATAAACAGTATTTAATAAGAATTAACTGTAAGATAAACGAATATAATTGAATATAATTAAAGTACGATAAACGAATATAATTGAATATAATTGATAGATTCTTAAAATCCTCTTATCCTCTCCCATCTTTTAGGGCAACACCCAAATTATTAAGATAAAGAAATCAACAACTTTCAAGCTCATCGGTAAAGATTTGATTCTTGACACGTTGCGTTTTTAAATTCAAGTAATTATCGTTTGAATATAAACATTGAATCGAATCTGTGAGAAAATTGAAGTTGACCAATCCAACTACCATAGCGTTACGCATTGCAGATCGAAAGTTTTAGGATTTTGCATTCAAGCAAAAATTTATCCGAAAGGAATTTTCACACACCATTTTCTAATCTCATTTACTCTGGGTTTATATCGAACTTTTGTATTGAATAAATTAAAGAAGAATCAAGAAGGACTAGGATAAACAAGATGTCCAGAACGAGAAAATGGGTACGCATAAATTATGCAACAACTACATTGAGAATTACTCAATTAACACTAGACCCAAAAAAGGGCAAATTAATCTGTTAGTACATATACACACATATACGGGATTTTGGTGTACTGTTGGATTCTTGACTTCGCATCTAGCGCTCGATCTAATGAGTCATGAGATACATAGATCGATCGATCAACTTTCTAACAGTCCAGGTAAAGTTAAGTGGGACAGCAGCAGCAGGAAGAACTTCCTGAAACAGCAAACATATATATGTCTCTGTCTGGAGATTAGACCAGTAATTAAGCATGAAGAAAACTAAAAAATTTAATAAAGCAGAAGATGAGCAGTAGAGAATATAGAGAATCAGTTAAAAGTTTCATGGAATAGAGAGAGAGAGAGAGAGAGAGAGAGAGGTGTAGAGCTCCCTTCAATCCAAAAAAAGAGGCAGCGTACAGGTAATGCAGCTCCTGAGATATGCAAGCCACAAGCCTATCATCCTTTCCATCGCATCTCATCTGATCTGAGATATAGGACATATAGGACTCTGGGATCCATAGCTCAGCAGCTCTATCCACCCAGCATCACCTTCTTTTGGACTTCAAGGAGCTCCACTCCTTAACCCTACCTACATATACTTATATACATACATATATATATATATAGCTACCTCACCGACCACTGCTGAAAAACCCTAGATAGCATGTAACATCCAAAAACCCAGAGAAACTTGCGAGGAAGAAGATTAAGATCAGATATCAAAAACGAAAAAAAAAAATACACACACACACACACACACACACATACAGGCATCAAGAAATCAAAACCCTAAACGAAAATATATACTTCCAGAAAATTAGAGCCAAATCATGTAGTTAATTTTCAGACCACACATATATATAGTTAGATCCATGCATCGAAACTTCTTCGCTCAAAACCCCAGATGTTTTCCACTCAAATAAATCTATCTCAAAGATCCAAAGAACCCCAGAGAGCAAGTTACATAACTATAAACCTACCCATACATAGTGAACCATATATAAATATATTGTATAATACATAAATATAAAGATTAAAAATTAATAGGATGTGGCTTGCTACCAAACATTCAAACCAAACCTCTAAAACTGCATAAAAATAATGGACGGACTTTGGCTTCAAGCAAAGCGAAAGCAACGAGAAAACGATGAGGGAGGGCAACATTTATATTAGTTTTAGAAAAAGAACAAATAATGGTGGGATTGGGTCGGCAACGCCTTGTATTCCATTCCAGCACCTATCAACCCAGGTCCCTCTCGGGAACCGGCTTCTGATTAGATTCCCTTAACACGAATCACGTGGCTATACACTGTTTCCAGAGCCCTCTCCTCGCACTGATCAATTTATCGTTGCTGATTTTGACCGGCTGCACTGCCACAGTTCCCAGTAGCCACAGCAGATCACATCTCGTTGAACTGCTGAACACCGTTACGATACTCGGAAAAGGCAACGATCTCAAAGCCTTTTATTACGAGTATCATGACTTTGTTGTTCAACACAGGCTTTAGGATCTAGAACACGATATATTTTAAGATATTTTTACCGTTAGATTTTAATTTTTTGTATTTTTAAAGGGATGTTTAATTGTTTAAACATCTAAAACTTTATATATTTCGGAATATAGTAAACAATTCGCGTTACGTATGTACTATTATCATATTTTCAAATTAAAAGTGAGAGGTCTTAGTTTGAATTTCCTGAATGACGAATTCGATACTAAATTAGACTATCAATTGTATGAGTTAGCCAAACTCTCTCTCTCTCAAGTTTAAAAATGTAGATGTACTAAAAAAAAAACAATTCACGTTACGTATGTACTATTACAATATCTCCAAGGGTTTAGACAGATTTCAACTTATATAGTAGATGTTTTTAGCCTTTTCATTATGTTTGTGAAATTAAAATCTCAAGAAAACTTCCATGTAACAAGGACATTAAGTGAAGCTATTTTAATGGCTTATGGTTGGTTAGTATTATTTTTTCCAGAGGCAAGTGGAAGGTGCGGATTTAATATAAATTTACAATTACTTGCTTAATTTTTGGCTTAATTCAAATTTTCATGTTCTAATCTGTTTGATATTGTAATTAATTTTATGAAATTAGTTTGAAATAATACCACGATCAACAACCATGACTGTGACCATATATTGATCATGTTTGTGACTGTTTTTAACTACTTACAACAATAAAAAGATTAGAAGTGTTTATTGGTCAAAGAAGTAAGCTAATGAAAATTTTAAAAAGGCTTTTGGATCAGAAAAAATGGATTTTTGATTAACAAAAGATAAGACGTGTTTTTATGTAAAGTCACTTTTCTTAACAAAAATTAAGGCATATTTTTTATACAATGATGTATTTATGCTAAATAATGCGAGATTAAAATAAAGAATAAGCTAACATAATTTAATTTGAACTTGTAATTTATAAAAATAAAATTTAAAGTATCTCTAAAAGTGTAAGCAACTGCTGAATCTTGCCCCAACATTATTTGCTTACTTCGTTACATACCATTTAAAATAATTTCGTTTGTAAATGAAGGGCTAGTTTGTTATGTGTTTTTAAACGACCGAAATTGTTTTAAAAAAAATATTTTAAAATTAATTTTTAATAAAAATGTAAGTTAATTATGAAAAATCACTTGAACTTCTTCCTGAAAGAAGCACTAAGTTTTTTATTTAAAATCGGTTTCAGTTATTTAGAGAAAATATTTTTATGTTTCAAAAATACTTGAAGTGTTTTTTGATAAAAACACAAATTATATATTTTTTATTAAAAACATTTCAAGTACTTTTTCAAAATTAATTTACATTTTTATTAAAATTTAATTCAAAAAACATTTTACTGAAAACACTTTCAGTCGTTTAAAAATATTTACCAAATAAGGTAATCTCTTTCAAGAGAAAGATGTCGTGAGAAATTGGTATTCATTTTCAAAACTCGGCAGTACGTTTTCTAAAGTTGAAAAGAGGAGTTCGGTAAGTCGACCGACACGTGGCAGTGAAGTAGGGGAAAATACAAAAAGTCTGAGGTGAAATGAGTGGTAGATGTTGAATTAAGATTTCCTTTTGATTAGACAAAAGCGACGTCGATGTGACAATACAGCTCAGCATCAGGCCGGTGGGACCGACTGCTTTCTGCGCACGTTATCTCTGCTTCCCGTCCGTCTCCCTGCTTGCGCCCCTACGCTTGTTACCGTGGGCCTCGTTAAGTCCCATTCATGGGCTTGTGCCGGATTTAAACATATGCACCCAACTGCTATCTACTTTTGAGCCTGGGCCTCCATCATATGATTTAAAAAGAGATGGCCCTTTGAAGAAGCTAGCAGAGCAAGGCCTGGCAATCCAAAAAAAAAAAAATGAAAAATTAATGAAAAAGATTTAAAAATTTTGAGTTTTAATAATAAGAACAAAATAAAGTGTAAGGTGAATAGTACTAAGATTAACTTTTTAGTGTAAAAATATGATTTTTCATTAAAGTGAACAGTACCGGGAGCTTTTCGTTAAAGTTCTAAAAAAAAAAAAATTCTTAAACCTCTCATTCCACAAATTAAAAAATGGACAAGGATCCTTTTTATGGAGATTCAGAGCATCAATCAATCGTTTCCGTTTATCTTACATTATGCGGCCAGTTTTCATTAGGTACTATTTATATTCAATTTTAAATTAAAATTTTAAAATGATTTCTAACCGTATGATGTACGATGAACGGATACAATTGATTAATCATCCAGATCCCCACAAAGAGGATCCTATTCCTTAAAAAATGACCTCACCTTTGCAAGAGGTTATTTTTATTTTTGTAATGGTGGGAACAAAGTAGTTTATAAAACATATAACTTTATGTATAATCACACGACGATGATTAGAAGAGACTGAAATGCCTCAGTAAGTCTTTCTAATATTTGAAAGTGAAATAGCGTGGCGAAGTCATTAGATGATCCATTTACATATATAAGCTTGATTGAATGTACATACTTCGCACGTGGTTAAGTTAGCCTAGAGCAATGTGGTTTTTTATGCACAGAAGTTCAAAGAGGAAATTGTAGCAACGGTCCCTCAACTTTAACTCAATTGGAGCAATGATCTCTTAACTAAAAATTCATGACAATTGATCACTTAACTCATCAAAACGTGTAACTATGATCATTTTCGTCTACTCTCAAAATGAGTCACGTACCACGCATGTATTGCTGAATCGAGAGGCAAATATAGAAAAATAGATGAAAAAAAATGTAGCAATGGCTGCTCAACTTTAACCCAATTAGAGAAATGGTCCATCAATTTTAACCCAATTGAAACAATGATCCCTTAATTTTAACCTAATTGTAGCAATGATCATTCCAACATGAGTCATTTTGACGGAATTCTGATGGAGTTGATAAAAATGACCAT